TTCAGAGATCAAGCCTCTTGTCCGGCTCTGTGCTGACAGTATGGAGCCTGCTTAGGATTCTCTCTCTCCCTCTCTGCCCCTCCCCTGATCACCCATGTGCACATGATCTCTGTCTTTCAAAATAAGTAAATAAACTTAAAAACAAAAACAAAAACAAAAAAACCTTAGTAAATCCATTCTCCTAATAAAAATAAAATAAAATTAAAAAAGGCAAGAGAAGACAAAGAGATGTGGAAATAAATGAGGAATAGGTACCAGAAACTGAAACAGGGTTCAGGGTATACCTGAGAAAACAGCAATTTCTGTCCATACTATTCTTAAAATCCTGTAAGAAAACCACAGCCACACTATTCCAATTGGCAGGATATTAAAGAACCAGTAGCCTCCAGTGTGTGCTACCAAGGACACAATTCTTCCTGTGAATATACAATATACTTGAATTCCAAATGAATGGGAGCAATATATCAGCATCTTATTGAAAAGAAGTCAGGGGCGCCTGGGTGGCGCAGTCGGTTAAGCATCCGACTTCAGCCAGGTCACGATCTCACGGTCCGGGAGTTCGAGCCCCGCGTCAGACTCTGGGCTGATGGCTCAGAGCCTGGAGCCTGTTTCCGATTCTGTGTCTCCCTCTCTCTCTGCCCCTCCCCCGTTCATGCTCTGTCTCTCTCTGTCCCAAAAATAAATAAAAAACGTTGAAAAAAAAAATTAAAAAAAAAAAAAAAAGAAGTCAGACTTTTCTGTAAAACACCATTTGGCCACCAACAATGGATTCTCCACACCTGTCATGTAATTCCTGGTGAAATTTCCTTGCTGCTTCTGAAAAGATTCAGCCTAGGGGAAAAAACTGTTTTTATAACAATCACTGTCAAAGAAAAAAATTCCCTCAAACAGGAAAAGAAACTTGGAAACCGGAAGAAAAAAAAATCAAGCTGAAAGATTTTCACAATTCAGTCATTTGAGTTTCTGGGGTTTTCTGCTCTCGATACCAGTCACCAGGAGTGATACCCCAATGCATATGGACTATTCTAGAGACACTCAGAACTGTTACTTTAAAAATTTTAAAAAAGGGGTGCCTGGGTGGCTCATTTGGTTAGGCGTCCAACTTTGGCTCAGGTCACGATCTCACGGTTTGTGGGTTCGGGTCCCACGTCAGACTCTGTGCTAACAGTTCAGAGCCTGAGCCTCCTTTGGATTCTGCATCTCCCTCTCTCTCTGCTCCTCCCCAACTCACGCTCTTTGTCTCTCTCTCAAAAATGAATAAACATTGGGGCACCTGGGTGGCTCAGTCGGTTGAGCGTCTAACTTTGGCTCATGATCTCACAGTTCATGAGTTCGAGCCCCGCGTCGGGCTCTGTGCTGACAGCTCAGAGCCTGGAGTCTGCTTCAGATTCTGTGTCTCCCTCTCTCGCTGTGCCCCTCCCTCATTCATGCTCTGTCTCTCTTTCTCTCATGAGTAAATAAAACATTAAAAAAAATTTAGATCCAGACACCTTCAACTGCTAGGGAAGAAACCAGCTGTCAAGAAAGTACTAGGCAGAACTGTACTGGTCTCTCTTCACTTTCTTTCACATGGGACTCCACCCAAACAGATACCCTCTAAACTGTAAGAGAGAATGGGGCACCTGCCTGGCTTAGTCAGTACAGCATGGGACTTTTGATCACGGTGTTGCAAGTTTGAGTCCCACATTGGGTATAGAGATTATTTGAAAATAAAACTTTAAAAAAATAAAATAAAATAATAAATTATAGAAGAGATATTTTCAGTTTTCTAACTTATAATTTCATATACTTTCTAATTCTGGTGTTTTTCAAATGTTAACGATTTCTCTACCTACCACTTCTGTAGAAACTGATTTATTATCAAACTACTATCATGTTTCATAATACTACCTTGTCTTTATTTATTTTGAGAGAGCTTATTTATTTATTTTGAGAGAGCGAGAGAGTGTGCAAGCGAGCAGAGGAAGGGCAGAGAGAGAGAGGGCAGAGAGAATCCCAAGCAGGCTCCACTCAGTCAGCGCAGAGCCTGACACGGGGCTTGAACTGGCAATCTGTGAGATCACGACCTGCGGCGAAACCAAGAGTCAGACGCTTAAGCTACTGAGCCACCCAGGGGCCCCCATAATACTACCTTGTCTTAAGCTTTTCATGTCAGTTATATCATTTGCATGGCTCAGATGCCTGACGAAGAAGGTATCATTAACCCTACTATGCAGATGAGATTGTAGAAAAAAGAGAGAGAGAGAAAGTTTCAAGGTTACAAGTAAGTTCCAGAGACAGTAAAATCTAGGTTTTTCTGATGATCAGCCTAGTCCTTCATTTTAGGAAAGTTGCTTTTCAAAGGACACTTAAAATACTAATCACTCCCTCCTACCTACCCACTCTTCTCCAAGATTTGTTCAAACAAAACAATTAAGTAGACTTTTAAGTTAACAGGAAATGACAGAACCAAAAATAACTCTGGTGTGGTCTCACCTCTGAAAAAGATTTCCAGCTGTGAATAACTGCAGACAACTCTGGCCAGGCAGGATAACATCCTATCAGGATTTAGTACCCAGTACAATGGATCTTAGCTATATTATACATACAGTGACACCTTACTTTCTTAGAACAAACCTCAACTATTTCAAACTCTGGAAAACCCAGAAAAAAAGCAACATAAGTCACGGAGAAGCCAAAATTGCTGTGGTCAAGTTCTTATACTAAAGAACTTGGTTTGGTTGGGTTTTTTTTGTTTCTTTTTTTTTTTAATGTTTATTTATTTATTTTGAGAGAGAGAGAGAGAGAGAGAGAGAGAGCGAGTGAGCTCAAGCCAGGAAGTGTCACAGAGAGAAGGAGAGAGAGAGAATCCCAAGCAGAGCTCCAAGCTCACCTTGGAGTGCTACGAGGGGCTCGATCTCACCACCTCAGAAGAGTCAGCTGCTTAAAGACTGAGCCACCCAGGTGCCCCACACTAAAGTTTTTATATACAAGATAAATCCATACATTTCTAAGGGCTTGAAATCACTATATTTCATTTATTTAAGACTAATCTTATAAGTATACAACATGCATTAATTTATAAGTTCGCCAAAAACCAAACTTAAATGATACAGACTATGAGGGTGTTTTCTTAACTATGAGCACGCCTAGCACTAAGACAGCACCTGCCTTTTAACTATGTTTTATTTTACTTTACTTTTATATTTTAAGGGTCTAAGAGGATTATTTTAACATCTCTTTTATATCTTATGATGGAAATTACATGCAACAATGGCGATCAGAATTTGATAATACCTGAAGGTTTGAGGACTGCCACTAAGCTTCGCTCAGATCCTATTTATTCTGACTTGACACACAATTCTGGTTTATCTGGTTTCCCTGCCTACTTCAGCTTAGAAACAGCAGATTAGAAGGGCATATTTTGACAGATAGAAAACAGTCCTGGAGGAGATAAACTAAAAACAGACAAAAGCATTAAATGGTATAGCAGTAAGGAGTCATTTTGGTACAGGAAGAAACTGCCAACACCCTTATTCGGCAGAATGCACCAGCCATGTTAAAAGCACAGGACAGAAATTAATGTACACAACTGACCTTGATTCATCAAAAAAGGTTATGTTTAGTATATTCTTTATCTTAAGAGAAGATTTATACTTTTTATGGGTTATATGCTATATAAACTGACATTAAAATGGTCAAAATATTTAACAGTTAAAGGGCTGTCAGTTATATGAACAATTCACTTAGATCCTTAATAAAACCAAACAAACTGACAAATCTCAAAAACCCATTACCTTTACTAAACATTATGTAGTGTATGTTTATGATCATCACTTATGCTCCTGGCTTTTTAGAGGGGAAAAAACTAAGTTACACACTAGAATTATGTAGTGTAGAAAATCAACATTTATGATGATTCATGATTTAGGAGGGAAAAAAATCTAAGTTAAACGCTAAAATTCTCCCCCTTCACTGAACATTCAAGAGACTTTTCCATTTATATATGCATTCTTGTCACCAATCTTAGTTTCCTTTCTCCTTCTAATTACCAAAATGAAAAAATAAGAGCATTTTACTGGTTTTCCCCTCTTACAGCTAACCCCTTTATCCAGAAGCCACTAACACGGCTTGTCGAGGTATACGCCCTTTTTATAAAATCGTGCTATCAAACCGATTGTTAAAGCTCGGGCGAGAAGAGTTGTAGTTAACTGTTAACGCTAAACAAAAGTGCATAAATTAGTGGTTATGTTTAAACCAGTATTCTTAGTTTAAGAATAGAAACAACAATGTAAAATCCCACAAGTATTAGTAAGGAACAGTTTAGTTTTGGTTAGACCTCTGAATCAGAGAACATCCTTCTCCAAGTCTCTTTGGCCAAAAAATAAAACACCAACATCATGTCAAGAGATCTGTGAATACCTTTCACACATTCCCAAATGGATTTATTTGTATTTATTTCACCACACTGTTTCTTTTAGTAGCAACAGTGACTTGTGATGATCTCTAGAAAGTGGGCCAAAAGGTACGCGTAAACGTCCTTTAAAAAAGGTGGGGGAGGGGCGAGATAATCAGATCCTAAAGACGGGGAGCGGAGCGGCAGAAGATCTGACTTGGGAGAATCTGCTAAAGTCCCTGCCCACGCCACTCTAGATGTCTTCACTAGATACAAGACGAGAAGAAAGGAATTGTTTCTTTTTTAAAAAGATGGGGATCCTGGCCCTTTGGGGTGGTGGCAGAAGAAATCCCCACCCCACCTGCAAGTCCAGCTCGACCGGAGATAAATCAGCAATCTCCAGCAAACTACGGGTCAAGGCGCAACAGAAAATGCCCGGGGCTCCGCGGGGAGGGGATCCCCCTCCTCTGTCCCATAGCCCCTCCAGGTCCTCCTCCTCCCGGACGGAAGCAGCCTGGGTCGCCGCCGCCCTCCCTCCTCGGCTCTCCCCCTCCGTTCTCCCGCCACCGCCCGGCCGAGGGCCGTTTCCCGCGGGTGGACGAGGAGGGCCCAGCCCGCCCAGCACCTTTGATGACGCGTTCGGTGGTGGAGAGGTGGAAGTTCCTCCCAGACATGGTCCCCTCAGCCTCCTCCCGGCGCCAGGCGACCGCCGGACGTGCACCTCCGCCTTCGGGTCCAGCAGTCTCAGCTCCCCGGGACCAGTCAGCCCGCCGTGACCCGGCCCCGGCCCCTCCGGGAGGCTCAGGCACCAGAAAGAGGTGGCCGCGGCAGCCTGGCCTCAGAACCCCAGTGACAAGATGCTAGCCCACTGGCCGCTCCCTCCTGAGGCGCCGAGTCCCGAGCACACCGGGCT